CTAATTGTGGAAGCTGGGACTTCCTCTTTATGAAAAGTGTCATGAGAAATGATTGGTTTCAGAGAGGGTGCAGTCGGTCGTTGATTGGCTGAAGCTTGAGCAGGGCACATCAGCAGGTGTTCCAGGTAAGGCTGATTAATAGTCTTCCATGTGGAATTTTCCGTTAAGCTTCATCTCTCCACTTGAGTATTTTCTTTTAAATCAAATATAATCACATTTTCTCAATTTGGAAGAAACCCTTAATCTGGGTAAGAGACCCCCGAGGCAAAACTGAGACTTTATTGGGAACCACATAGCTGTACTTTTTCAAAAACTTTTAAAGAGTATAAACACAGTGTTTCTTAATTGAGAGTAGCAGATTTTTTTTCTAGTTCAATAGAAAAAATAAGATAACCTCATGCTACTCATAATTCGATATCAGCAATGAGTCTAGGTGGACTTCATGAAATAAAAACTTTGATGAGTTACCTTAATAAGTATATATTTAATAGCATTTTGTTTGTGTTTTGCTGGGTTCCAACGTCATATTTCACTCACATCAAGACCCATCCCTCGTGTGCTGAAGGGGACACACTTCCCACCTTTCCACCCTCTATAAAAATGACAAAAGCAACAAAAAAACAAAAACAAACTAAAATTCATGTATGGCTGGTAATGCATCAACCTTTTTACCACAAATTTTCTAAATCATTAAAATTTTTGTAAGTGCATTTAAATGTGGGGGGAAAAGTTCTGAATTCAACAGAAAATGCAATCATTATATTTCCCTTTTAAATTAAAAAATAAAAAAGTGTCAAAGTGATGAGGCACACTTTATTAATTAGATCTGCAATTAAAAATAGCAAAAAACATTGATTAAATATACTCATGCATGCAAATGGAAACATTTCAAGTGTTTCAAGTATTTCTTATCATTTTGATTATGGCATATATCTAATTAAAACTAAGCATTCAGGAGACTGAAATATGATATAAGACCAAAATAAAATATACTTTGAAATCCTTTTGTTTCCAATGCAGACAAGTAATGTTATCATCATTTTACAGCAGACACAACTATACAGGGTAGGGTTATCGTTCCCCTCCACAAAGAGGTGGACAATGTGTTTTAGTCTCAAATATTTTAGTTTTTTAAACTGACATTAATATACAGTAGAAGCCAAATAGAGTAAATTGACATTATCTCTGGATGGTCAATTAGTGCCAACATGCATGTTTGGCATGCATGTTGTGTATATTGAGAAAAAAAACAAAACATTTCATGGGCTTCTGAGAGAAAATACAGATGAAAGCTATGAAACAGCATGCCCTCATCTGTCTTTAAAGTATGCATGTTGCTTTTGATGCAGTCCAATTCTAACTATTGTGTATGCATCATATAAGGAATGTGAAGTTTATATCATTCTGCTGCATCAGGACTGAGTACGCTTTTGGTGGGATATCACTTCCATCCATCCATTTTCTGATCCCAAGCGGGGTCGCGAGGGGTGCCGGTGACTATCTCCAGCTGTCTACGGTTGAGAGGCAGGATACACCCTGGACAGGTCACTGGTCCATCGCAGGGCAACGCAGAGACAAACAGACACACTCACACCTAAGGAGAATTTAGAGAAGCCCATTAACCTAACAGTCATATTTTTGGACTATGGGAGGAAGCCAGAGTACCCGGAGAGAACCCATGCATGCTCAGGGAGAACATGCACACTCCATGCAGAAAGACGCCAGGCAGGGAATCGAACCCAGAACCTTCTTGCTGCGTCCCATAGCAGCCCCTGGGATACCACTTTCTCGTTTAAATTTAAATAAATAGGAACTAAATTTAGACCTGTCCAGGGTGCAGAGGCGCACCTTGTCAACAGGCAAACCAAGCAACTGCTTGGAGCCCCGAGCCGCTGGGGGGCCCCCGAGAGCCAGCTACTGTACATCCGGTAGATAAACAGCAACAGGCGAGCATGAAGTGGCAACGCCGATTGGATGGAATGTTGATTGACATTGGCTTTGACCAGTCAAAATCCAGCCCAGCCCAGGTGGATGACATCCCTTAATAAAAATGAACGTAGCCTAGCGAATGGGTGACGTTGTAGGCATAGGCGGATCTACTGGGCAAATGCCACCCTAAATGACAGCCTTGCCACCCCAGCTGCCACCCCAGTTGCCGGTAGGGGTGGCGAGGCTTATAAATTATGGATCATTTGAGAATTACGACCGCTAATTTCCAATGTCGGACTGCAGTGAATGTAGCACGAGATGACGCGAGAGCGACTGAGACTGATTAGTTTGAAAACCGAATGGGGCAAAGCGAGGGAGCCAGGGGTGATGGGGAGAGGAGACGCAGGATGAAACAGGTAAAAACTGATTAACTATCTATCGAGAAATGAAATCATAATGAAAGCACAATGTTGCTAGCATAGCTGCAATGCTGATTTTGAGATGATATAAATCAGGTTGCAGAACGTTATTTCTCTAACTATGATGTTAGTTCGGCCTGATGTCTCGGGCTCATAAAGACATATTTGCGGTCAACTATGACAGAAAAGAGACGATCAAGTTTGGTTTTACTCAAATCAAAACGCACAAAGGGATTGGATCTAAATAAAGTTGTGAAGCGTTTTGCTGAGCAACATGGAAATCACTGCATTCAGCTGTTATAGTCATGTTAACTTTATGTTATGCTCTCTGGTGAGCCTTTACAGAGCTGTTACATTTTGTTTTGGCACCTGAGAAAATCTGATATTTCCTTTAAAAAAAACCAAAAGTGTTAAAAGTTTAAAATGTGATACTGGTGTGAATCCTGCTTAACATGAAGCAGTGTTGTTGTTTCTTTTTTTGTATATATAATATGAAACTATCCAGAAATGACCTGTATAAACCTACTCACAAGCAAAATGTATATTTATGTTGCTTCTTTTCAGATTTGTGGAGATTTTGATGTAACATACAGAACCCGCCTTTTTGTTGATTTGTTGATACAGCAGTATGGAGGACCAACTCTGCCATATTTAACAATAAATACAGAAATAAATAAATGCTTAATAAATAAATAAGCATACAATTAATTGCCACCAAAAATACAAACAACAAATAAATGTAAGTAGAAATTAAATTATACAGCTAGTCATAAATGTATATAACTCTTTTAATTGGCTTCTTTATTTCTTTGCCTTTTTAATATTTACCTTATTTATTTTTTTGTCATTTATTATCTTCAACTTCATTTTTTAATTACTTATATTTTATGTATTTATTTATGTGCATGTTATCATATTTTTGTCTGTTTTATTCTTCCTTTGTATTTTTTTACCCTAGTTATTTCTTCGCCGCTATTTCTTTCTGCCTGCCCTTTTAACATCTCTGCCTGCCATTATAATATAATTTCTAATTACATTTATTTGTTGATTGTATTTTTGGTGGCAATTAATTGTATGCTTATTTATTTATGGAGCATTTATTTATTTATTTCTGTTTTTATTTTTAAATATGGCAGAGTTGGTCCTCCATATACAGCTCTATCTACAGCAGATCTACATGCATGAAATGTCATACAGCAGTTAAGGCAACATGAAAGGGACAAGTTACTGAGGAACAAATGGGGTTCAGAGTAAACATTACATAGATATCTGGTACCTTGTTCGGGTGCCTTGACCGATTTATTTCTACTGTGTAGTTCTGCTCACTTTAGTCCAGCTCAGTCCATAGATCTCTGATGGGGAACTTTTTCTTTCTATAGTTTCTTCTTGTGCAAATGCTGCAAAGCTGCCTCTCTGACAGTCAATCTCACTCATCTGCGACTCAGCACCTGTGTCTTACCTTAATACCTTTCCTGTGATAATGCCCATCTAGAAGTAGTGTTATCTTCTATCTCCTATTAAGTGAGATCACATTGTACGATGTATTATTAATATGAACTGTTTCACATGAAACACTAGTACTGTACATACTATTCTCACCAAACTGTGATAACTGTGATTAAATTCAGTGTAAACAAATGCCATATGTTGCCACCCCTAAAAAATTCCTGCCCCCCTCTTGCCACCCCATAAATATTTTTCTAGTGTCTGCATTTGCACAAGCCAAGGCCCGTAAGCAGCAATTCTGGAAGCAGTATAGGACCCCAATAATTTCACTACACTTACTATACTTTATATTTTGTACAAAGTTTATATTGGGTTTTTAAAGTAATTTACTGTTCTTTTTTTATTATACATTTATTTTAATTTATTAGTTTATTCTTTACTTTTATTCTTTTATATTTTCCAAAATAACAAGGTTGTTCATGTTTAGAACATTTGGAATAAAAAAAGTTTTATTTAATACATTTTTCTTTGGTGTCAGATTATTTATAGCCTAACATAATCGTGATGAACACTGGTCAGGAGGGCCCCCCAAGTTTTTTTTGCTTGGGGCCCCCACAGACTCTAGAATCGCCTCTGCCAGGGTGTACCCCGCCTCTCGCCCGTAGAAAGCTAGAGATAGGCACCAGCACGGATAAAACGTGAGAGAAAATGGATGGATTGAATTACATTTTAAGACTTTTATACCTTAATTTGTCAATTAATCATAAGCTGCATCAAACAGAAAGTCCAATAAAAGAAACTACAGCACATATGTGGCAAGCTATAAACATACAATGAAAAGGCAGAAGACAATGGTTAAAACAAAACAAAGCAAAGAAAAAGAAACCAAAAACTGTTCATGCTACATTCTGAGCTGGTCAAAGTTACAGCGGTGTCATTTCTCCACTAAAAAGTTTGATGGAAAAGTTGATTGCAATTTGCAAATGACCCCCGTCTACTCGCCTCATCAGAAACTTTCTAGACACGCCCCTGTATCCTTTCCGTCTGGTGTAGAAAGAATGGTGAGACATGAGCAGACAGACCGGTGTGTGTGTGTGTGTGTGTGTGTGTTTGGCTGTGATGGCAAAAGGTCTGTTAAAGCGAGACTTGAATTCCAATGCTTCCATCTCTTCAATCCCTCCCTCCCTCTTTCTCTCTCTCAGCATCCAGCAGCTGCGCCTCTCTCCTGCCTTTCCTGACGCTGAGTGTAGCCTCCCATACAGATGAGCGCTGGAAGCCACGCACCTCTTGACGTAGCCATACAGACCGGTTGCGGTGCCACACTCGGTCTCCGTGCGGCACGTATTGCGCAACGTGACTGATGCTCTATACTGGCTCGGTAAGGTGGAAACATAAAAAAAAGCAGCGGTCTCATCGGCTGTGGATAGAAAAGCGGACCCTCCCCTCTTCATTTTTCCAAAGATGAGCTGATTTCGGTGCGTCGCTCATGATGTGACTCAGTCATACATGTTTGTATTCACGGCGAACAGCAGCCTTTTGAGGACTTCATCCATCAGAGTGAAGACAAGAAGATTCTATGTGTTTTGTAGATGCAGAGGGAGTGACGGTGGAATCATTTGACAGCTCGCAATCAACGCAGCATCCGTGGCGCGAGCTCTGACCACAGCTGGATTTGATGAGCTCCGTCCGGAGGAGCCCAACCTTCATAGAACCCCTGTTTCCTCCCTCGACATTGGTGTCTTTTTGCTGAATACAGTTAAAAGAGACTACTAGAGGGTAGAAGGTGGCGAGTATTACTTTATTTTATTTTATTTTTAACAGAGCGGGGCCTCTCCGCAATGTTCCTGGCCGCGCGTCTTACCCGCCTGCCTCCTCTCATCCTCCAGGGCGCCTCGATGCCGTTAGACGCTCTGCATTTTCCTTAACTATCCTAAATTATAGTTTTTATTTTAAGAAAGCTAATTTACATAAATTGATATACCTTCTGAGATATACACTGACTGTTTATTGGGGACTAAATTAATAGACGAGAGGTGCCGCGTGTGTGCGCTTCTGTCGCACCGCCCCGGAAAGGACTTCTTGCCGCTGAGAGAGCTGGATATGCAGAGATTAACGTGAAAGGATGGATCTAATTAACGCCGTTTTGGGGCTTCTGGCGCTGATCGTTGGAGGCATCAGTTGCCAAGGAGTGTACGGTAAGTCTGCACAATCCACATGCTTTTTTTTTTTTTCTTGACCTTGCAAACAACAGTTTCCTTTTGCGCCCTGATGCCCTTTAATAATCTAGTTCTTTACGTAGGAAGCATGTTTGGTTGACATATCTGCTCCGACAGAGAGTGAGGCTGTTTTAAATGGTTATACAGCAAATCGCATGTGTGCAGCCTCCTTTTCTGGTCCAGTCCATCAATCCCAATGCTCTGTAAGTAGGCTAAATTTAGCTGGATACATTTATATGTTATTACAGAGGAACCTGGTTAGCCTTTTCTGAGTCTGAAGCATTCTTTTTTTTATACTTCCTACTTATAATTACTAATTGTGATTTAAACAGCATGTGTGACTCATTCTATGACATGGAAGCTTTTGTGGGAGTCATCATAAGGACTGTAATCTGTTGAACAGTGGTACTTGGCATGCAGACTCATGATCATCCTGTGTGCAGGATCTATCTCCCCACTTCCTCCTCATGTCTGCATGTCTGAATCTCTTGCAGAATCACTTGCAGATAAAGAGATGGTGTTATATTATAGGGACTTGTTGCAGGAAGGAGCTGGAGCATTCCCATTAAGATCAACTCAAAGTACCAGAACATTCTGCAATGATTTCTAAAGAAAATAAGTAGTAGCTGCAGACTGTGGGAAATGACTGGTGATCAGACCATTGGTACCTTTTGCCAGTATTTGATAAGAACTGAGCATCTTCATCTGTTGCTACAGTACATGAATTCCAGCACACTGAGGATGAAAGCTAATTCCTGTCTGATGCCTGTGCAACCAGTGGCACAAATTATACGTGATATGAATCGTCATCCTTACAGCAGCAGCAACACTGACAGTCGCAGCTGTGGGAGGACTGTGAGGACGAAGTGATTCATGTGTACCGAGACAAGGACATGGAGGAATGCTTTACCAGCCCTTATCTGTCAGCGCTAATGGTGGACCTGACCAAAGCAAAAAGGCAGACCAGAGGAACGTTAAAGTCAGACGTAGAGATGTAGGGTTTGTGTGTTTCCAAGCTGAGATGATATTTGCAGAGTCAGAGGAAAGCATGAGAACAGCTTCAGTGAGCACGACAAGAACACCTCAGAACACACTGTCATGAATTTAGTATTATTGTTTTGCTTTAGTGGTATGAGCCAGGTGAGACAGTCCTATGTTAGAACCCAGTAAGATTGTACTACTGTTCATAAAACCCAATCATCTACTGTGTGCTGCTACCTCTGCTATATTCCACTTGCATCTGAATCCTAGGCTGTTTGTGAGCTGAAGCTGGTGAGGTTTCATCTCCTCACTCTTTGGAGAAAATCCCACTTTTTTTTTTTTTTTTTTTTTTTTTACAGATTTTTCAAATATAACACTCGGAAATTATAACTTAAAAGTTGGACCAAAATGCACATAACCTTTACTAATGTTGACTTTAAAACAAAGAAATTTCACTAAAATGAACTGCCTATATTTCAGCGTGTGGGTTTATATGCAGTCATTTAAGATTGCCTCATTGAGCAGAGCTGAAACGTGGTTCATCTTTGTGATACTCCACAAATATTATTAAATATTGTTTTTATTTGTTATTAAGATACTCTAATAATATATTTTTTGGTCCGCATTCAATTTGTGACTTGTGGTTAGCTTTGTAGGGGCTTTACTTGAGTAAAATAACAGAATTTTTGGTTCTGTTATTAGGAAATATACTGACCGAACAAATTTTCTCAGTTAAAAGTAATCATTAAAGGGTTTGAAATGTTCAGAGATACAAAAGTAAAATGTATAAAGGTAAATTCAGCTGTCAATATACAAAATAGCTCTTGATAATGCCACTAAAAAGAAAAAATCCCCGCACAAAGAATTACAATAAAGTTCCTCGTTTAGTAAAAATTTAATCATTCTCAATATTTAAGTCTATGTGTTGGCTGTACTCAATTAAATCACTAATTTATTCATTTAAATACAGTTTACATAGAAAGACAGATGGTGTATTTGAAAATAAGCCAATCAAAACCATATTCTTAAACTTATTTTTCGAAGAATATGTTTGTGAACATTTCTTGATGTTTTTTCCACATATATTGATCAACTAACACTTCACAAACATTTGTTGGAACGTCATCTGAGCATGCATGTGTTAAATAATAATCTAAAATAATTAAACCATCCACACAGAATGTGTTTTTTAGAGTCACTAAATTCAGTTGTTTAACAGAGAAGAGGTTAAAGGCTACATCATTGCCCTCACTTAACTTGAGATTCCTTTTCACATCATGTGACTTGTCAGCTCACCACAGATGTTGAGGACTGACAGGCATGACACTAATCATAACAACCGATAACATGAATGACCGATAAAAGCCTTTGATCCGTGGTGTAAGCATGCTGTGTCAGATGAAGATTCAACCAGATTAGAAGGGATCATATCCCATAATGCTTGATGTGATGCTACTAGTGGTATGTGAGGACTTGTGGGTACGAACAGCAGAAGCAGAAGGAACAGGGGATGAGTTAGAGGGGTGGGGGAGTACCAGATGGAACTGTTTGGGCATTTAACTCTCATTGTTTGCATGTATGTTGGGCAGCTTGACAAACCCCAGAGCACATCAAATTCCTGCTCTAATCATTATTACAATTTCTAAAAGTCTTTTGGAATCTTGCTTTCTTGCCTCTCATGTAAATAAGATGTTATATAGAAAGACAGGTGGTGCTTATACAAATAAACCTTGCATGCTGTAACTTGCATAGCCTATTATTTCATATAAAGTTGAAAACCTAGTAAAGACCTGTCATGTTTACAGCAAACCTCTAGGGAGAACGACTGTATAGAGCAATTTATTAAAACAACTCAGAAGTCAAAATTTACTACTGAAAGTTATTTGCTTAATATGTACTGTTGTTTTCTAGTTGATTCTCAGTAGGTGTACACATATGGTGGGTGTGGGGATATTGTATTAGGGTCGGAAAAACAATGGGTTCTGGGACTATAATATGGGAAACAAAACAATAACTTTTATTTTTTCTGTAACCATTTTCCTTCAAAACACCGAAAATACTGAAAGGTTGTAAGGTATTCTCTGGTTTCACAAGAAGACATAAATGTATAAGTGTGTTTAACTCCTTTTAACAATATGCTAGAGACAGTTTTGCAATGGTGTCAGTAATTCTCTGTCATTTGTAATTTTATTATCTTTAATGACAAATAGATTTGCACCTTTCAACACAAAGGAAGACAATAAAATCATGTAATAAATACATGCTATGTGCTTTGTAATGAGTTGGCATCAACAAAGTACACCAGCATTTGCACCTACAGTATACCACCTTATTTTCATCCAGATGTGATGCAAAGTTGGAGTAAACTTTTAAAGAATTTGTATTTCCATTTTTTTGGAACAAATTAACAAGGTAATTCCAAAAGTGATATCGTCAACGTTGATGTGACTCTTAACAGCAGTAGGGTTCTCGTTAGTACGTCCGTCAACAGGAGGGGACAACCGGGCCAGTTGTCCCGGGCCCAGGGTAGAGGGGGTCCTGAATCAGCCCCCTACATCTTTTACTGCAAATCTTTTTTTTTTTTAAGATGTTTGCAAGGAAATTTGAGCTTTATACTTAATTTTCATAAAATCTTTTCCTATTTCTCTGAAGTTTGTCAAGCTGCTATTTACAAGGCTGGCTGCGCTGCAGGTGGTGACAGGGAAATGCTCAACCTGAGTCTTCCCCTCTCTACACAGTCAGGCAGCAGTTCCATCACTTTAACATGAAGGGTACGCCGGCTCTCACCTGAAGAAGCCGCCTCAAGCCAGAGGAAAAGCTTTAGATCGAACAGAACTTTAGATTGCGCTCAGCTGCAAAAGCTACAGAAGGCAGTCATGGGTTGTAAGTACTCTGATGGAGCAAAAAACTCTGCAGTTTTTGTCAAGCTTTTGTTCCCTATCTTTGCTAGATGAAGTTATAATTAACACAGAACCAATGGGGTTTTCTTAAGAGGTTGAGAAGTTTTGAATTTGACTGACCTGACTAAATGGACCGTCCACGGCTGCAACAATGCTGCAGTGGAAGTGAATAAATAGACAATCCTACTATACAGCCTTAACTGCTTAAGACAGATTTTGACCAGAACATGTTGTGGTCCAATTTAAATGTGTAACACAAGTAGAAATCACACAAGTAAAAATCTATAAATGGGATCATATGCGAGTGTTGCAGATATGGAAAGCCAAATGTGCCACATATTTTATAAAATAAAAAAAGGAAAGGTCTCTATTTGTAAATATAAACCTTTAAATGTTACCTACATTAAATAAATAAATTTTTTATCCTTAATAAATGAATAATTAAATATTTTTCACTTAATTGATTAACTATTAAATAGGTTACTGCTCGTTAGCATGTTTTTAGCTAAGTGGGCTACTATGCTCAGAAAAGTTGCTATTAGGCTGAAAATCAGCTTATGCACATATTTTCTATGAGCATAATGGCCCTTTGACTGACATCTGTGCACAGTCCCTTACTCGTTTCTGCACAGACAGTGGTTATGCTGTAACATATAGAATCACAGTGGAATTATGCAAATACCTTAACTTTTAATAATCATAAATAAATGGTAAATGGTAAATGGCCTGTACTTATATAGCGCCTTTATTCAAGTTAGGAGACTTGACCAAAGCGCTTTACACTACATTCATTCACCCATTCACACACACACTCACACACTGATGGTGGCAAGCTACATTGTAGCCACAGCTGCCCTGGGGCTCACTGACAGAAGGCCACAGAAACACTGTTTTTTTAAGCTCATTTGCTTTCTTACTTGTGGACATGATAGAAGCACTGTGAAAACACGACGCCTGCGACGTTAGGACTGTCATCAGCTCGGCTCCCCAAGGCAATTTAACATGCTGCAGCCCTGACAGCCTAGATGCTACTACTCATAAAAATCCTGGTGAGAGCAGTGCTGTAGTAAACGGGAAATAGAGTAAGCAAGCTAGCTC